ATAAACTCACGTTATCACGTCGTGATCTTGGTAAACTCATGTTTTTTAGAAAAAATATTTTGTAGGAGTCCAGTCGCGATTTCATAGTCACAGCGCGATCGCTACACACTTGCGATCTCGCGGCAGGACTCTAAATCTGCATCAATTCCATTCTTAAGAATTCAGTATAGTTTTTCTTAGCGCAATCACTATCATATTGCTATTTCGCGACGCGACTCATGCCGACAGTAATTGCGGCTATTGCAGGACAATCTAGCTGAGTTTAAAAAGTTGCGACGCGACTCACGTCACGGAATTTTATTGGTGGATATAGTTAGTACTTTTTGAATTGGAAGAACGGAAAAGAATTCTTTTTCTCTTATTTCAAAGTGAGAATTTAGTCTATGTTTCGTATACAAATAGATAGTCCACATTCTATTTATGAAAGATCGACGCAACAAGAAAGGACATGAGTTTTTTTATTGTATTTTTCAAAGAAAAAAAATAAACATGGAAAAATTCGATGAAGATATGCCAAATGTCTTGATTAGAATATTTATTTTCTTGCATAATTAGTGTTGGTCATTTTTTCATTCATTTTCATGTACAAATCATTTAGATAGCTTCATTTACTTCTTTTTACAAAGAAATAGCATAAAAAAGTTGATGGTCATTTAAAGAAAATAAAAATAGTCTCATCCTAAATATCGATGTACAATAACAGTTCAACAAACCGACTTAACATACAAATATCGTCAAAAACATGATCTTGTTGAAATCACTTCATATGATTTAAAAATACCTTTCAAAAAACTGAAGAAAAAAAAATAGAAGGCTTTTTTAAATATTTTTTTAGTTCACCTTGGCTTTATAGTCGAGCAATAAATTTTTTACGTAATGTTCTTTCATGTCGTAGTTCTGGTCAACATTTATTAATAATGATGAAAAAAAAATAATCGAAATCGTGTTACAAAACTTTATTTACCATTATTTCAAATAATATTAATAAAGTATTCGATCCACAAAATCCTTCATTTGATAATAATAATCTGTTTTTTTATTTTGTTTTATTTTTAAAGGTCAATTAAACGTCCATCTATTAAACCTTCGCATTTTTCATGATATTACCTCCCCCGATTCTCAACAAATCTTAGTAAAGAAAAAAGACAATAAAATTTGTAATACTACTAATTTGTATTCTAATAGAGAATGGTTTTGCGTATTGATACATTCCATGAATCATATTCTACAAGCAGCCACGACCGGTTTCGACCTTGCTTAAGGGTCTCATCAGGTGGCTTGTCCATATTCATCATAACCCAAAGGTTACAACAAAAACCGAATATTCAACTCTTATATAAAATAAGAGAGAATCGGTTATGGCTGCTTGTTTAATCTAGTTGCAGTCATACATCTTAATACCGGTTCTCTCTTATTTTATATAAGAGTTGAATATTCGGTTTTTGTTGTAACCTTGGGGTTATAATGAATATGAACAAGCCACCTGATGAGACCCTTAAGCAAGGTCGAAACCGGTCGTGGCTGCTTGTAGAATAGACACTCCTTCAAAAGACTATTCAAACACATGTTACCATGTGTTTCTGAGTTTGGGTGGCTCGATATTCTCCTCTGGAGATTTGCATGACGACTGTAGTTTATATTTCTATTAAAATAAGATCAACGAAAACGAGACAGTTGTGTGATTCCTTTTTGAACTATGTGTAAACTTAGTGTCTTCGAAAATCCCAGACTTTATGAGACTTCATAGGATCTCAATGGACTTCGTGAGACTTCATAGGACCTCAATGGACTTCGTGAGACTTCATGGGACTTCAAAGGATTTCATTAAACTTCATCGGACTTCCTAGTATTCGAGAGACTTCAGAAGACTTCTGAACAGAAGAAAACATATTTTAGTCTACGTGCCTTTTCACTACATGTTATTCTTTTTCACTTTATATCTCAGAAATGAAAAACAATAATAACTTTCTGATACAGGAAGTTTAACGTTAACTGAAATTACTTTCCTTTTGTGTATAATGATTTACTTTAATGTTATTCTCAATTTTTCACACGAAGCCGTTCAAACATTCAGGTTCATTAAACCGGCCGGATCTATATCAAAAATCATCAGAAATTCCGGAAATCATCCAGGAAATCATACTATACCAGGTTCTCGATGATGTCTGCTGTGTTTCCGGATTCTGTGTGTTTCCGGCACGGATCCGTCCAGGAACACTGACCAGAGCTTTTCAATATCTTTAGTTCTTGTGGCAGCCAGGATGGGGAATCTTTGATTTAAGTATCCAGTTTCGTACAACTCAAAGAACTGATCATTTTTCATAGTAAGCGCTACCCTCAATACTTAATTTCTGATAAACTACTAACTTCTATCCTTAAATTTTCTATCTTATGATTAAATAAAGAAAGCTTAAACCAAACCAACTTCCTATATCAGAGAGCCCCAGCTAAAAAAAAAGACCTTGCATCGGCTTTTTCTCTGCTGCGAAAATGACTAGACGCGCTAGATAAGTAGATTTTTTTTACTCATTTAGCTAGATGCTGCTGCTGGAGCATCGACTTATCTAGCTACATCGCTCGATGCATCGACTCTGGTCCACAAAATAAAAGGGTAAATGCGTCGTTTTGGCTGGTATCTGGCGACTTATGTGCGATACACTGATCGATGCATCTAGACAAGTCGATGCCCCAGCAGCAGCATCTAGCTAAATGAATAAACAAAATCGGTCGATGCACCAGCAAAGGCATCTAGATATTTCTGCTAGAGAGGTTTTGCTTGAGGGTTATTATTGTTTTTCCTTTCTGAGATACAGGGTGAAAAGAACGCCATAATGACATTCTTTGACATTGTCATTTAGTAAAAAGGCACATAGATTAAAACGTGTGTAATAACACATCTTGCAACGGAATCCCAAAGACATACTAAGAAACATTTCTTCTTACCTTCTCTCACTATTCTAAAAAGATATCAGTTTAAAACACAACCATTACCGGCGCCGAAATATAAGGCACTGGGTTGTTTTTCGAATAGCTAAAATGATAAAAGATAGAGACCTGCGGTTTTCAACAATCAAAACAAGACAGTTTTCTCTACGATTTCATAAGCAAAACCTTTTCCGAAACCATTCCGAAGACCGGTTTTCTATGTTATATTTGGAAAGACAGTTGGGATCTCCGGAAAATGAGATGGCAATCTATTAGTTTTTCTCATAGATAGATAGTCCAAAGTGTCCTTTGCAAAATAAGAACGAAGGGAACTTAGAATTTTTTCTGGTTCAGGCGTGATATCGGATTTCCTGAGCGTTCCAAGATCAATATTTCTTTAGGTGTGATAATTCCAAAAACCAATGGATATATAGGTAACCTATCACGCTGATTCTCACAACAACATTTGTTTTTCAAAATAAGTTCCAAAAACCTAGTGAAAACCTATATTAGGTGAAATAATCCATTTTTGCCCATTTTTAAGTAAAATTAAAAACTCATAGCCTAGTCAAGATCCATCTAAATTATGTCAGAATGTCAAGATGTACTCCATTTTACCTGCTTAATACGATTTTTTACCTGAGAATAGTATATCAGCCATTTTAAGTCAGAAACATACCAAATTTTTGGTAGATATATGAAAAATGACCATAAATCAGATAGCGCTTGTAAAACTGCAAAATTGTGGGTTTTCCAGGCTAAGGTTTTACAGGAGGTTTCCAGAAGCCCTCTGACGTTTAAATCCGCTGAATCTCATATTTGAGAACTCGTTCAGCATCAATACACTATTCTAAGTGTTTCCTATAAATTTAGTGTGTTTCTGACTTAAAATGGCTGATATACAACAACTCTAGTTTTGACAGGCTTCATGCAAAAATCCGTTTTTCATTAAAAATACCCTGATGACCTTGGGTCAACTTCTAGTCAAAAACAAACATTGCCACGTTAATCAACACATTTGGTAACCTATGTTTCAAGTCTTTTCGAGATCTTCCGACGTGTTCGGACCGAGTTAGCGTGGTCTCCGGAGAACCTTTCTAGCTCCAGAACCTTGTAAGCTAACGACCTGGGACCGTTCTAGCAACGAATATCTCAGTCCGGGCTACCTGCCTGTCGTCTCAAAAGTTAAAATCCGAAACTTTTTCAGTGGTGTGACATCTTTCGCAAAATATCTTCGCAGGGTGCACCACCTACAGGTGATTTGGGGGCAATAATTTTTGGTTTTTCTTATTGCCCCAACATTTTTCTTTCGACTAGTGAAAACCGCAGCTCCGTAGCTACATCCTAGAAAAAGTTATTAAACAAATGGCCATGGTCTTTCTTTTTTGAAATGGATAATAATAGATGTCTGCAAAAGGCAAATCAGGCGAAAAAAAGAGTGCAGAAAACTGGTTTTCAGTTTCCGTTCGTAAACTAGGAATGGTCCAACAGTTCACGTTCATAGGAACGACGGACGACTAGATCCGTCGATCGAGAACTATAGTTGTTTTTAAACGAGGAACTGTTCGATATGCCGAATCTGTGTTTCTGGTGCTCTAGTAGATCTGTGTCTCCTTTAACATGTGAGTGACGCGACAAAATAGTCTGATAAAAAAACAGAAGGAAACGAAAAGTATCAAATCTCTTAAGACTCTAAAGATTATTCAAAATGAATGAATAATAAAACAATGTTTGCTATATGAATCACTTGAACAAGAACTACAGCAGTTCCTCGTTTAAACAACTATAGTTCTCGTTCGACGGATCTAGTCGTCCGTCGTTCCTATGAACGTGAACTGTTGAACCGTTCCTAATTCACGAAAGGAAACTGAAAACCAGTTTTTCTGTACTCTTTTTTGCGTCAGATTTGCCTTTTGCAGACATGTATTATTTATTCCTTCCAGTGCAACTGCCGGGCTACTTTTAATTCGACCCACTCGTCAGTCATTTCTAACTTTTAATAGTTTCGCTTTTCTCGTCTGAATCTCTAAGAGTTTTGTAGATAAAAAAGTTTCGTATTCAATATAAAAAATTAGTTAAGGTTTCACATTTAGTTTGGGTAATCCAGGATTTGGAGGAAAACAGATGAATTTTATCATCTTTAGCTCATTCAAATAGTCAGCTAAAGCTCTTGCCAAGGATTTGGCATAGAGAAATAGACGTGTTTTGTTTAATAATTGTTTCGATGGAGATTCAATCATAATTGCACTAAAATTATCTGCACGCGTTTTGGCTCCATATTCGTCAATGATATAGCCCCATTCATAGTAAGATGAATAGGATGGTTTAGGATGACTCGGCGACGGTGTTGCTCGATAATTATATTTTTCAATAAAATATCCTAATGATTTGTAACCAGTAATGAGTTCTGTTTCATTAAATGGTAGTGTCGATGTTAGCGTCGATTTCCTAAATGAATATTTACCATTTTGTAACTGTCTACTCGTTATTGAGTAACCAATTTCTACCCAATTTTCAATATGATCTTGAGAATGAATATCAAACAAAATACCTTTACCAATGTTTCGAACAATTAATTCACGTGCATGTTGAATATAAAAGTGATATAACATCCATGCTTTCATGCTTGTTCCAGAACCAAATGTTGCTTCGTCAATGAATCGATTCATATCAACTTTTGATCGTTGAATACGATTTATAATAATAAATGGTTTTAAATTCATTATTTGATTTAATTCATATCTTAATGCTAATGCTAATAAACGTGTATTTGTATCACGACCTCGTGGAATATGACAATCAATTTGATTCATTTTATACGGCATTGTACATGGATGTTGATATACACATTTTGTTGATGATGAATTTATTTTTTTACAGCCACCTGGTGGTCGGGTATATAAATTTGACTTTAAATCACCATCGTGTGGAACAGACAAAATAATATTCATTGTACCAGGATAATAATTAATCGATAAATCTTGCATACCATAAGATTTTTTTAAATGAATTGGTTTATCGATTGTCGTTACCAAAGTAAAATATTTGTCAATATCTTTTGACGATAATATATCAGAGTAGCCATTATTTAAAAATTCTTCTCTATCAACGTATATGTCTGCAGACAAAAAGCATGTAGATTGTATTAAAATAATAACGACTGAAACGATATAAAACATTCGTCCAAATAAGTTAAACCATAATGTTTCTTTTATCACAGTTATTAGTAGGAAGTGTGGATGAGTTATTATTCTTATTAGAGTCTCCTATATATATGACATTATTTATCAACAAAAACAATTACAGTTTTTTCATTGCTATTCATTGTTATTAATTCTTTAATATTTATCCGTTATATATCGATTGAAACTGATTGCAACGCTAAAACAAAAGTATTGTTGAATAATATCAACTATTATGTGTATTAGTATTTTTAACTATGATTACTGATGTTTTAAACTAGATGTTTAAAGATTATCTGATCTCAAAATGATGTCGATTTAATGACTTTTTTTTAATACACACATTGTTTAAACTTGAAATCTATAGTAACTAGTTTTCTAGATCCCATTTATCATTTAGTAATTGACCTATTTAAAATGAGATAAGATAAATTCTATAGTTATTATCTATTAGTTTATAATAAAATATAACTTACCATTTCAACAACATGATACATTTTTGAGTAAAGGTCGAAACCACCTTTTTCTTTACTGTATAATAGTAGTCAACTAATCGTTCTTTGACTACAAAATATTGCCGAAGAAAATTTTTAATTCTGCATCTCATTCATATTTTCTATATATAATTTATGTTTTAGTTGTGTTTTGTATCGATGATTTTTTGTATGTTTCTTCTGTTTTTTTAAATAGATTATTTTATTAACATGTTAAATTTATCCATAATATTTATTTATCGAAATCACAAGTTAAAGTGTCAGTAGTCTTCTTTCTTCTATACTAATACTATATAATCAGCTGGCTATTTCGTTCTCATTCATTCGCGTGACGTTTATTTTCTCTTCTTTTTTACGTAATACATAGAGGGCGAGTTCCTTTTCTACATCTTTTTTTTCTCTCTTTTTTTGTCTAATAATTGATGGGTGGTTGTTTGGTCTTTTTTTTCTTCTTTTTGCCACCAAAACAAGAAAAACATGGACGAAAAAAAGAGGAAAAACCTTGTGTTCGTTCAATGGGATCGTTCGTTTGACAAAACAATAGAATCGAGAGAGAGTGATTTATCGGAAAAAATAAACTCCATGAACATTAACAGCAATAGTCTCATAAACTGAAATACTTGTAATCTAATTGTAACTATTTGACAATTTCTTCATAATTGTATTAAATATGATATGCAAAGCTAAAAGAAAAGAGAAAGGTATTTTAACATTTCAGCATCATATATTTTCACTAGTTGGTAGCCTTCGAATAATAAATGTTGAAATTTGAGTATTTACTCAATGAGGACAGACAGTATAGAGAGAGGGTTTCTTGATAAATGAAGAATTTCAAATAGAAATTGTTCATAAACATAAATATTATTTATATAGAATTGGCAAAAAATTTTTTTCCAGAGCGATAAAGCTCAAACTATAAATGTTATAAAAACGAATTATTTATCAATCTAATGCTTATTTATGATGGGATTAATGAGTATAATTAACAATCCGTATGACGATTGTAGACTGTAGAATTATGGAAATTTCTGGAATTTAACGGAATGCAAGAACGGCAAAATGTTTTTCGAGAAGATAGAACTCAACCTACAACTGATACAAATGATTTATTTTTACTGAATTTGATTATGACATTAAGCTCATTAAAAACAAACATTGATTTGCTATATTCATCATTCTTGTATCATTTGTAGTTTGAGTTCTATCTCCTGGAAAAATATTTTTGCCAACTCTGTACATATTCACCGTAGAAAGAAGTAAAAAAAAAAGAAAACATTGACATGCATTTGGTTACTTTATTTGTTCGTTTCTACAAAAGACATAGCGAGCATTTGTCTATATCCTGTAAATAGCTACAAAAAATGCAGAAGCAGAAGTATTAGTAATAGCCTGTTGACCTTGTTTAGGTTGTATTTCATACCTCTCCTTTGGTATCTTTAATTAACTTCCTTTATTTCAATCATATGATCTTTAACAGAGTTAATTCTATTGACGCTCCTTGAATGCTGCGTAAAGAATGTAAGTGTTTCGCATATCTAATTTTATATTAATTCATTTTTTAAAATGTAGTAGAGCATTCATGAGAAAAATGCAATAGTATTTACTATATGAACTTTCCGAAAATGAATTATTTTTGGAGTATGGAGGTTATTTGCCTCTTTTTGATATACTAAAAAACCGCTATTACAATTCATTCACTGTTTTGTTTTAAGTAAGAGAAGAATCACTGAACGAAAAAAAAAGAAAAAATCTATATTCGATCTTCCATGCTGTCAGTAGTCATGGTAAAAGAAACGTAGCTGAGGCCGGTACGACAAGTATGATGCTACTTTTCACTCAAAAATGCGCGTTTAGAAAGATCTGCTTAGGCTACTGCTTTTTTTTTAGACAACAACGACTTTCAGCTCTTCGGCTTCATTTGCATAAAACGGCGTTTAGTGCAGTTTGTAAAGCTATTAATTGTCTACAAAATGAATGAGTGAGGAGTGCAACATGCTCATAATCGGATCAAAGCACTGCTGAACTTCACGACGAACGTCAGTTTAAATCTGGTATCAGGTATTGAGAAAACACTTGAGAACAAAGCTTTTCTTTATTTCTCTTGTCCAGACTGGCTTACAACGTTGGGAGAGGTCTTATTTTGTTCGGAATTCAATTCTCTATCGCTCTAAGCCATTTTCAGAAAAAAATTGGACTTTAAAATAACTCCTTTTCTAGAAGTCACAATAAAGACATTGAACAACATTACTCTACATGACGTACTTCTATCGGTGCGGTACGAAAATGCTATACATCATAAGTTTACCTGCTTTCGTTCATAATTCCTTCTCGTATAATATTTATTTATATTATATTTTTGTATATTTCGGATTTCTGTTCTATTGTATTCAAATTTCATTTGTTTACATTATTTCATCAAGTATGCCTACTATAAAAACAATCAATGTTATTTATCATCATCCAAACAGTGACAAAACGAAAGAAAAGAAAGTTCAATCACTTAATGGTCGTATATCTAATTCATTATTAAGAGCATATTTTGGACTTTAAATTTATTGATGTATGTGATAAAGATGGAAAAAATCCTGTTAGTATGAAATTTAATACAGATGGTTTTTCATTTAAGAAATATAGTTCTATCGTACATATTAGTCGTGAACCATTAAGTAAGTTTTTCATGGTTTTGTTGTTTATATTTATAAGAATAATAAAAAGAGTATAAATTTCTATTTTTTATGTTTAGATAGTAATGAGAATATTATTATTCCATCATTCTTTGAAAATATTACAATATAATATAATGATTTAATTAGTTTTGTTGGTATTGTTCGTGTTAAGGAAAAGAATAAAACGTTTATCATATTTCTTATTGTTGTTTACTGTACATAATTTTTTCGTTCTATCTGTATGTTTTTATTTTTGTGAATAAAATTCACATAATCAAATTCATTTGACTGTTCTGTTGTAGAGTGAATAGTCCATTTTTGTATCAAAAAATATGTTTGGCATTTATGTCCAAGTATTGAGGCGAGAACGTGCAACATGCTAAATTGTGCAACAATTTCAATTCAACATGCAACGTTCTAAAAAACTAAATTTAAGAACTGTATGTTGAACATCAAGTTCAAAGAACGTGAACAATAATAGAACTTTTAATAGTACAATTGTTTTATAGACATAATTATCTTCAAAATTAATCATGTTTATAGAGTCGGAAATTCAATGACACTTACCGATATGGGCACTTTATTGGCATAAAAAATATGTCAGAAGATCTGAAGATTTTCTGAAATCCTTTTCAGATCTCTGTAAATTAGAATTCTGAACTCGATGTTATGATACAATTCCTATAATGTGTTTTAGCATTAAACTGTCTCGTAGTATTTCATATTTCTTGCATTTTAATAGGTAAAGCTTTTTATTTGAATTAAAATCACTTGAATTTCTGATTGGAAAATGCAAGTTATTGTGTGCCACACGTAGCAAACGTGCCATGATGATCATGTTACATTGGTTTGCGTGTGATCATAAGCGAAAAGGCATGCGAAACGATTCAAACAGCGCATCAGACTGTATGAATCGTCATCGTCAATAACATTCGTCACTGTAGGCTTTTGTTAATGTACTGTTTTCATTTTTAGTTACTAGTTCATTTTCTTTTTTAACTATATATTCACATAAATACGTTGTGTCACGAATTGCTCTGTAAAATAGTCACATATTGAATATAGTCTTAATATGTCTTGTGTTTGTATTTCAGATTTTTGCTCTATCATATTTAAACTTCATTTATTTACACTATCTCATTAAGTATTTCTAGTATAAAAATAATCAATGTTATTTATCATTATCCAAAGAGTGACAAAACAAAAGCAAAAGAAAGTACAATTAATTAATGGTAGCGTAACTGAATCATTATTAAGAAAACACTTTGGGCTTAATTTTGTTGATGTATGTGATACAGATGGGAAAAATCCAGTAGGTATGGCATTTGATTTAGATGTTTATTCAGTTCAAAAATTTGATGATCAAATAAAAATTGAGCATACAACAGTAAGAACAGAAACAATTCAAATCAGCGGTGAACTATTATGTAAGTCATCTCTCTTGTCATTCATCAAATCATTATGATTAAATAATATGTTTCGTCTATATGACCTTAATTAAGTTATGTTTCATATAATTCGAATGTTCTTCGCTTCTAGCTGTATTAAAATGGTATAATAAAGCATATTGTGATGTCTCAAGATAGTTCATTGGGCTTCTTATTACAATTGCTTTCGGTACCATCACCCTAGTCGTCAAACTTATATTAGACCATTAAACATTAAACGTTTTTATTTTTGAACATTATTTCATCAAGTATGTCTAGTGTAAAAATAATAAATCTTATTTATCATTAAATTTAAGTCCAAAATGTGCTCTTAAAAAATAAGATATTGATGTATGTGATAAAGATGGAAAAAATCCTGTTAGTATGGAATTTAATACAGATGGTTTTTCATTTAAGAAATATAGTTCTATCGTACGTATTAGTCGTGAACCATTAAGTAAGTTTTTCATGGTTTTGTTGTTTATATTTATAAGAATAATAAAAAGAGTATAAATTTCTATTTTTTATGTTTAGATAGTAATGAGAATATTATTATTCCATCATTCTTTGAAAATATTACAATACAATATAATGATTTAATGGTAATTTTGCGGTTCGATAGAAACAGTTTTCGACAGCGTGTTTTGACAGTGTCAAATTTTGAGTGAAAACTGTGAGGTGAGCATGGGAGTGAGTCACCAGACCACGTTCTATGTCCTGCCACTAAACCCTGGAGACCATTGATGGTCTTTTCCCTGGAGACATTGTGAAATGGCGACCTAAAGACGTAGGGATTATCTACGCCTCTACGCGTTTACGCGTTTGCTGCTCTAGTGGAGAAGTGAAGCGAAAAATCTGTCGAATTTTTAGTCTGTCGAAAATTCCGATAGTGTCGAAAACTGACTGTCGAACGGCGACAAATTCGATTTAATTAGTTTTGTTGGTGTCCAGAAAAAGAATAAATGATTATCATATATATTTTTCTTATTGTTGTTTCCTATACATAGTTTGTTCGTTCTATCTGTATGTTTTTATTTTTGTGAATAATATTCGCATAATCAAATTCATTTAACCAATAAGCCCAAGTGATTTTTCAAAACATAAAATTAGAATAAGTTGAAAGTTTAAGGGGGGGCGGGGAGTCTCCACCCGTTTTCTTTTACCAGTTTGTAGAGGACACTTCGGAGTACACGTCTCAACAAAGCTTTCTGTTCCCGGATTTGCAGTTTTTGATAAAAAATTTTGAAGTTTTTTTCGGGTTTTCTGCCATATTTTTAAAATTTCAATAAAAACTTCGGCTTTTGATATGAGGAGTTGATTCTGGCGTAGGTCGATAGAGAACATTAACTTGTATAAGGAGTAAAACTTTACATCGTTCTCAAATGAAATTTGACGGAGAAATTTAACTTTCACCTTCTCGAGGAAATAGAGCTAAAAGTATTTTGAAAACAGCCTTACGGCTAGTTTCGCTCGAAGCAAGCATTTTGAAACAAAACTCTGGATGCAAAAGTTGTTCAGAATCAGATTTCGGAGTTCCTCACGAGAGCTTTTTTAAAATTAAAAAAAAAATAAACAAAGACCATGTTAAGATTTTTAATGGAATAAAACAGACTTAACGATAGCCTATCCTGTAGCCCGTGAAACTCCCTATCAGATGAGGTATTGCTTGAACCAAATGTCGGGGATAAAATTAAGAATTTTGTGATAGAGTATATCTAGCTCTCAATATGGAATTAGAATTTTATCGACAAACTTAATACCCCACCCGCGGCAGCCCTAAGTCACACTTATATCTCTCCCTATTTTATTATCTTTTAGATAGCAGAAACAATGATAATATTGAACGTTGAAAACGGGAAATGGCAGCGGAACAACGATGATTTTGGACAGATAATGGTTGGGAACGGAAAGACATGAAAAATAACTTCTTATTCGAAACGCAGAAAATAAACAAATTGAAAACTAAAAAGAATACCAAGAAATAAGTTAACGAATATTTGCGCTTGGTTTATCAAATAAAGGAATGACTGTTTTTTCTATGAAGGGCTATAGTTAGAAGTGTCAGCTGATCATTTGGTCAGCAGCGGCTGGCGGAAATATTTTGTCGATTGACGGCGGCAGCTGGAAGCATCTAAAAACTTTTGGTCTTTGGCGGTGGTTTAACTTTTTTTCTTTTTTCTAATGTGCAGTTTTTCTACAAAAAGCAACTACAAAACTTCTCAAGATTTTTCATCGGCGCCGGCGGCTGAAGGACAGAGGTCTACGGGACTATCCCGGTCTCCCGGGACTTTTTACGGGACCAGAATCGAGAGATCTGAGGGACCGTCCCGGCCGCGCGGGACTTTTAATGTGACCGGGACCAGGTTTTTTTGAAAATAGTCTAATATGAAGCATAAAAAATTCTTAGTTTCTGCGCTTGTTTGTATGTAGACACTGATTCTGCGAGAAAGAACTCATAGGAAATTCTAAAAGTCTTCAATTAATACCACCCGCGCATACTGTTCCGCGAGAGCCACATTACAACGCGCTGACTTTGAAACCATCAACGCTACTTTGAAAAAATATTTACCGGACCACGGGACCGGGACCAAAAAAGTTTGGTCCCGCAAACCTCTACTGAAGAACCCACACTTTTGGACCATGTTCAGATGTGACAGCTTATTGGTTGACACGTCTAGCTATTTACCGAGCTGAATGGAGTAAATACTAAAAGAGAAATTACTGCAGTTTATTCATAATTTTATATCGAGAGTTAGATATACTCTCTCATAAAGTTCTTAACTTTATATTATTCAAAGTATTATATTCTATTTTTAGCAAAAGTTTCCGCCCTTTAGAAATTGCGATAGAATGGTGCCAATCCAACTGCTCTTAGTTTCTTTTTCAAAGTATGTACACTCTAAAAAAAAAGGTATTTCAAAAAATCCTAAAAACTATTTTCCGTTTGAGAAAATACTAAAAAAAAGGTATAACCACCCATGAAAAATGTTTAAAGGGTATAATCATTTGAACCAGATTATAACTGTTTGAAAGTTTCTTATTCTTATCAAAAAACTAATTTTTGTTTTCTAAAATACGGCTAAATTGTTCTAAAAAATGGTTGAGATTTCTTTATGTCACAGAAAACCGTTCAGGTATTTTAAAATACCAAAGCAATTCATGGTTTTTTAAATCAAGGCTTTTTCGTATTCTAAAATGCCAAAAAGGATTTTCTGATAAAAGTAAAAAAGATTTAAACAGTCATGATATGGTTCAAATGGTTACTCATTTTCCGTATTTTAAAATACCTTTTTTTTTAGAGAGTACGTAAATCGCTCAGTAGCAGCAATCTCTACCTTAAAAGTAGATATATCTATTCATCAAAATGGGTCATCACTCATATTTTAATTGGTATCCTACTCCCATTAATACCTATGTTAGCCATTTTGTTATTACCTCTGTTGAAATATGTCGAAGAACAACCATTAAAAAACCGTTCCACAAAAACTGTCAAATATAGTCAAGAAAAAATGATTCAGTTTACAAATCTTACATATGCAAAGTTCTATCGTGCATCTCGAATTTATTACCATCTAGTTATGGACACTTTCAAACACTAAGAGACAGCTGAAGATGGAATCAAAGCGCAGCTCAATGAATTACAACATCAGCCATTTATTTCAATTCTAATGCAGTGAAACGAATTTTGATCATTGTTAAATTAGAAATCTTAACCACATATTTTCAGATAGTGGAAAAATGATAACTTTACAGTAATATTCTCGTTGTTACTTGTTTTTGAGAATATTTTATACTAAAAATAGAGATCACTTTATCACAAATAATTAGATTCGCAAGCCATATTGTCACCAGAAGAAGGAAAGGATTAAAATAAACAGATGATAAAGTTGAAGAAAATACATGATAAATTGCAGTAATGTATGATAATGAATATTTTTTGCAACATGAAAAATGTTTATTAACAGAGAAGAAAAAACAATTTAACAATTTTTATACAACAAGATAATTTGATTGTATTTCAAAAATATACTGGAATATACATAGTTTTTAGCTAATATTGAGCATTTTTATGATGAAAGTAAATAACACATAATTCAAAGAGGAACATTGTGGATAAGCCATACCTGTATTATAGATGTATGATAAATGATATTTATTCCATCTCAAATGAAATTATAATACAAATTTCTCTCAAGTCACTTGATCCTACATAATTTTCAAACATCAGTATATCAAATTTAAAATAAAAATCTTCAATATTCTAGCAGATATCATTCTTCATCTTGTCGTAGGAAAATGAAGTTAAATGAATAGGAAAACGCGTTTGATATAAAATGAAGTTATGGGTAATAAAGGCTATATATAATACATATTGTTCGATGCTATTTATTCACTATACTTTGTAACAACCAACTGAGATTGGCACCTGTACATGTATTCTTCCTATGGTTCAATGTCATACAATAATCAAAAAAAAAAAAAAATCCGAATACGTCGACACACAGACCTTGCCGTTCTGGACAAAAAAGAAACGAAACTTCATGGCTTGTTTCTAACCCACCCACACTTTGAATCTATAAATCTTGAATAATTTACGCATGAAAGAGTTTAGATGATATATCTAACGTTATTATTTGACAAAACGGCAACAAAACATAATAGAGTGCTTTGTCATGACAAATAGAAACTCTCCAAAGTTGGCAACTATACATTGCATCGTTCAGACTTGAGGCAAGATAGTCTGCATCATTACAACATAAAAGCCTCATATAAAACTAGTTATGTAACACAATTGTACTTGCTCGTTCTATAGAATACCGTTCATAAACGTTTTTGTTTGACCTCTCTCTACATCAATCAGTAGGTGACGATTATATACTAATGTTTTTCTTTTGAAACATGAGACAATAAAATTAATAACGTCACTAACAAAAATAAAAGTCCTCTGAACTTGTGGGAAATGAAGATTTTTTTTTTCTCTATTTATTTTATCTTTTTCCACGTGTAAATTTTACAAACAGAAAAAAAAGTAATTTCTTATTACAGATTGTTTTTTATTTTTTCAAATTAGTTTTTGTGCCTATATACCTATTGATCGATATTAGTAAAGATGCAAGCATGTTACGCTTTTTCTTTCTCCTTTTTTTTTTCTTAATGTATGAGCGCTCTTTGCTTTTCTGTTTGATAATTTACAGTATTACATCACTTTATATGTTTGGACATCGACCGTCAAAATAATATGAACATTTATCGATCATATATTATTAAGTTTTAAAACATAGAAGAAGAAAAAAAGAATAAAAACGATAAATAATACTTTTTCCCACCATTGTTTATATAACTAATCTCTCCTAATGGATTTGACACATCTCTATCCATTTATGCAAGCTGCAGCTACTACGGTCAATACGACTACTCCACAATTCACAATGCCATCTCAAACTCATTATCAACAACGAAATACAAATATTCTTGTTTCACCAACGCAGTCCAGCAAACGACCCAGAGATTTCTATGATCAAGAAGATTTAAAATCGCATTCATCACGTTTAGCAGCTAGAATAACCAAACATGGTTTACATAATTACGGTTTAGCAATGGATCTCTATGATGCCATAGCACGAACACTCATACCCTACGTTGAATATAACGAACGTTTTAAATTAAAATTTATGAAACAAATACATTTAGATACTATGGTCACAGTACCATCAGGATTTTCTGATATCGCTCAACATGTTCGTACTCGTTTACAAATGCTATGTGATGAATATTCATCAAATACAAATGGTCTCGTTGAAACAAAAACATCAGCAATAACAAATGAAACATCAAAAACGAATGCAATGGATTTAATCAGTGGTGCTCCATCCGTCTACTTAGAGAATTCTCAACATGGAAAAGTAATACAAATGCTAGCAAATATTTTAGGCATCGAAATTCGTCTTGTTACATCATACGTTTATGAAGAAATTATTTCTGTTCAACCGCATGATATTCTCGAGAAAGAGCCACTGTACATTGCTTACAACGATGTATCAAAACAATATTATATGGTGGACAAACCCAGTAAGTTTATAGAAAATGAGTGAAAACAAAACACAGACAGTTAATTTCTCCTTCTTTTAGCTAATATTCGTCGAGATGAACTGTCAAATCATCAATATTGTCTGGAACAATTAATTCAAAAATATCATTTAAACGTCGTACCAAAATCTTCATTGGGTTTATCATTATTTTCGGCTACAGCGCAAAGTTTAAAAAATATTTCAATTAAAAATCCTATTGTTGAAAGTGTGGTGAGAAAATATTTTAATATGAACGGTGTGTTTGAAAATGAACTGGCTGTACTTTTACGTGATATGACCTATAAACAATTAAAATCAAATTTTGATTACTATGAAACCTATGTACAAATAAAACCGAAACATTTTGATATTAGACGAGATTCAAAAAGCTTAATCGATTGTACTTATTATCGTTATCAATTAGAAAAAGTTGTGCTGTACGCTTTAGCACATGTTATACAATGTAATATGATTGTGTTTAGCTCCGATGTTAAACAAGCAAAACCGGATGTCATACGAGTAGATCCGTCAATGGATAATAACAAAGATATTATTATCCTCTTGAAAAATGAGTCAACTCAACATTACGATAGTGCAGTACCAAATTGTAAGTAATTGTACAATGTTAGCTCTTAAGTAGAAGATTATCCTAACAGTAAAATATGATCTTCGTTTAGATTCTCTTCGTAATTTGATTGGAACGATCACTTCAAACGAATCATTAGTAAATGGAAATCGTCATGCACAACATTCAAATGTGAACCAACAGAGTGAAAAAACTTCTGCATCGAATAAAGCATCTATGGATGATCCGATTTATGAAAGCATTGATCCATCATCCCCAGTTCCAGATATTTCACTTCCACCTGCTGCTCCACCTACGAATTCTAATACCTATTATCGTCAACTATCTGTTCCTGCCAGTAATACACGATCAAACGATACATACGTTGGAGCAACTATGCCAACAAATTCAAATGAGAAGAAAGGAGATTTAAAAAGCAAATTTTTTTCAAAAACAAAAGAAAAATTTGTCACTGCTTTTAATAAAGTAGTTGAAAACGGCAGTTTACCGAAAAAGCCACAGGTGTATCGAAATAATGGTCAGTCGTTGAATAATTTATTTGCACCCACTCAGATTGGTGCCACATCTTCAAGTGATAGATATATCGAACATCGTCCTTCTCTTGAAATCAAGGATTACTCGACACTTGTACAAACTCCGCTACAGTCATCCAACATTCCGTCAGTAAAACGGCAAGCACCTATTGCAGAAGTTATAAGAAGGCAACAACAACAGCAGTTAATAGAAAATAACACATATCAGAATACTCAACCAAGAAATTTATCAGAATCAGATATAATTTCATTATCTCAACAAAATAAACACAGCAGGCCTGTTAATAATCAAGTAAGCTAAGGGTTTATAGTGCTACTTTTCTCGATTTTGCAAAAGACGATTAACTTTATAAATTGTGTTATGTGAGTGACATTCAACATTTTTCGATTTTTTTCGATTCCTGTCACAAACTTTAACTTATGTTTTTAACCCTTAGAGCTATGTAATTATTCGTACGTTGTTAAACATATTAACATAATCGAGAAATTTTAAAAGCTTGTTTGACCAACACTGACTGCAGATCCGGATACTATATAGTCGATTGCCTTCTACGCAAAAAGCTTTCGATTGAGGTATTTCTGAAAATGTTGCGATAATCTTTAGTCCCCAAAATTTATTAGGCAGAACGTAATCGGCTATGGAGAGTCCGAATCTGCAGTTTGTTTTGATCGAAAAATTTCTTGATTATGCTGATATGCAAGATGATTCATTTAGTAAATATACGCAAAGATATTTTAGAACCAAGATAGCAATAGAAAGAGAAAAAGTTTCTTCATAGAAAAATGTGATTATAATTTGACACTGATAAATAGTTTTCCTCTGTTATTTCTAATTCCTCAGCGAATTTTGTATTGTTTCAGAGTCAGACCTCCATAAGACAGCCTTCGGAAATACCACGCGCAACCGAAAATACTCGTGACCATCTTATTCCGTATAAAGATCGACAACGATCGAAAATCACTTTGAATATGTCATCAAACAGTGCAGTTAAAAAAGGAAACATATATAATAGTGTCACATTGGAAGATGTAGACGATAGTACAGAAGAAATAGATTTTACAAATTCGTTAACAGACGACGATACGGTTATATTACGAGACGTTAATCAACAAAATACAGTTGATCGACAGAAAAGTAATGTATCAAAAGTTAAAACTGGATCCCATCATTATGATCACGATACACTCACACGGCAACAACAGAGCAGATATGTTGATGATGATTTCACTGATGAGGAGTCAGAAAATGATATTCGTCAATATGATGATGTAAAAAGGTTGTTGTCCGAAAATGATTCGACCACAACAGATCCACAACAAGCAGAAGACGAAGAAGAAGAAGACATTTATATTTCCACTACAGACATAGTGCAAAGAGATAAAAAGCAATTACAATTGTTTGTTAGTGACAAAATCAATCATTTTAATCACCTTAATTGTTCTCCGTCTTTGAATGATAGAAAACTCTCAACATCATCACTATCAAACAAAGATGTTAAACGTTCGAACGACACCAGGAAGAAGCAATATATCCATGATTTGACTAATGTTGAATTACGACGACCAAAAGATCAACAACGAAGTGAAACAACAACAGCAATGTGTAAAGATAGTCAAAATGAAGTAGTCGATTCACATCGTCAGCTAAAAAGTGGTATGTGTTCTTTCTCAGCGGAATAACGATAATTGTATATCACTTTGTGAAAGGGACAGCTATACACTCGAAGTTCTTAGGATTGTTACAAATGTACGCATATGCTTTTGTTTATAGAAAAAACAAAGTATATGCACAGCGTGTTATAACGCGTGCTTCATAATAAATGTGCCTCTCAGTGTTTTTAGCATAACCTTTTTTCCTTTACGGATGGCTATTTCTTTAAAATAAAAATAGCCTTTTTCAAAAGATTTGCCGTTTTATTGTGTACAAATAATACATTGAACATATTTTTATGTACAGTGAAAATTAACGGATATAGATGAAATACTGCGATGGTTCAATCTTGATCACTCCCAGCCCGAAAAACTGCTTTTTCAGTTTCAGTCCTTTCTATTTCACGGAGAAGATGCCCTTTCTGTAGCCCTTAAAAAGCTTCATCAACTGGTGATACAAAAGTCTACATCAACACCAACGGTTGAGGGAAAATTCTTTTTCTTTTTTCCGATTTCGCCAAAAAATTGATCACTTTCAAACGGCAGTTTTGAGGCATTATTTATAACTCAGCCAAAATCCAACATTTGACGTCGAATTTGCTTTTTATTTTAAAGTAAAATAGTTCTTCTGTTACGCCCTAACAGAAAAAGTCGAATAGTTTCATTTCTTTCTCTGTGCTAACGCGAAAAGGCCAAATTTTCCCATTCTACGGTGAATTTTAATAAGATCGCTTCTTGTGTCAGAAAAACACATTTAACGCAAATGTATGATATATGAAAAGAAAGACAGCACCTTAGAGCACACACGTTGATTCCACTTTTATGCACGGCAACGTATCCAAAATATTTTTTTTCATTATGTTTTGGGTTGGGAAGTAATCAAAATTAATCATCACAGTATTTAATTTATATTCGTTAATTTTCACTATACATAAAAACATATTCAATCCATTGTGTGCAGAGAGTAAAACTGCAAATCTTTTAAAAAAGGCAGCAGCTAGCTCTCTGTCCTCAAAGGAGAAAAGATTATGTTAAAAACACTAAGAGGCATATTTATTATGGAGCACCCGTTAGCATTTTTATTTAAGAGAATCTAAAACAAACAGAGCAACTTGGGTTAATAGTTATGTTGTTTGTCAAGTACTTCAAAGAATTTCGACGAGGTTCATGTGCCTAAGATTATCTGTGCTATAGCATACTGACTATATTGTGACATACAATTATAGTTTGTCTGAATTTTCAAGAAGCTGGTACGTGGTAGGGATGGGACAGTTCCAGTTCCTAAGAACTGGTAGAAAGAACTGGTCACCAGTTCAGTTTCTGTTGAACGGAAACTGGTTACCAGTTCTTTTCTATAGTTCAAAATAAAATAGAACCGATGTAGCTGGTTATATTGACTTGGTTTAGTCGACTAAACACACCATCTACCTCTGGCGCACTACACAAAGTCAATGTAAGTAGATTCACCGGTTTTATTTCAATTTTAACTTTTTGAAAAGAACTGGTACCAGTTCCCGTTCAAAAGAAATGAACTGGAACTGTCCTACCCCTAGTACGTGGTTACTAAGTACGTATGGAGATCTGAATTAGTTAGACGATACAACTTCTTTTGTTCAAAGCTGTGAGTGAGGATTAGCAAAGAGATAGTTACCTCTATTTGTAGACTGTTCAGCTGCACAGAAGATATTTAACTACTGGATCAAGCCTGACTAGTCAGTACTCGACATCGACAACAGTAGCTGAAAGGTGCATATTCTTTCTTCCTCTTAAAGCAAATAAAAGGTATCAAACCCTACTGGCAATTATTAGGGATTAAACTTCATGCGAATGATCTACAGGCACCGCAGAGTAATTAATGAAACTTTCATCACGAAATATTGTTCCCAGAATGAGTTAACGAACTTTTTTAGAATACTAACATATTAAATTTATATTGTAAATAGAAAAGAGTCATGACTACATTCTAGTGCAAGAATAAAGAGTTCCTCCGTCTTCGGTCAGAGTGTATTAGTATTTTGCTATAAAAAACAGTATATAATGAAATGCTTATATCTCACGAATCATTCAGTAAAACAGACTCGAGTTTATCAGCATATCGTACACGCTATAACTGCACTGAATATCAAGCCATGAACACCAATGACTATTGAGATATAGCGAATCTCTACTTTTGGTCAGTATTGTAGCAGAACTGCCCACGCTCGAGAAAGGACTCTCGATGGTTAAAGCAAACAAATTATATATTATTTTTTTTTAATGTTTCTTGTCACTGACTAAATTGTTCTGCTTTTGTATAGATTCAATGGAAAAACCCAGTAGCTCATGTGAAACAACAAATGATCCTTCATCAACTCATAATAATCGCAAATCGTATCTAATTGATAAAGATGGTGTATTGGAAGTTCTGGGTCAAAATGACATTTTACAACGTGATCGGCATATTTTAATGAAAGTTTTGAAGCAAGAAGATCTCTTATCGAAAGAATGGCAACGTTTATTATATTTATTAGAAGAATACGTCAATAATCCAAAAAGAGAGAAAAAAGAACGGTGAGTACTAGCAGATCGATCAGGGGGAGACACTAGAATAATAAAATCTTTCTTCTTTTTTTGTAGAGGTCTACATGCCCTTACATTGATGGAAAACCTGGATCGTCTGGGGTATGATTTACTGGAAATTCAATCAACATCAGCAAATGAAAAAAATAATCATTTTAAAGCCATAACAAAATCATTATTACTGACAATGGAAATCAACGATTGGTTGAATGATCACATATGTTCAATATTACACATTACAAATGCACAAGATCAACGTTTTACAAAACATTTGAGAAAATTATGTATTAAAAGTTGGCAAAAACATTATGATGATTATAGAAAAATGTGGATGGATAAATATCCGAATAGCAATACAAAAACATTTGATTTTCAACGCGAAATCGAAAACTTTCGGTCAGAAAATTATTATCGATTAGATATGTGTTTTCTGGTCAACCAAGCATTGGCTGATGCATTCGGTATACCAATACACATTATAAGAGCAATTCGTGATGGAAATCCTGTGGAAATAATTCGACCAATTCGTATTGCTCGACCAGGTATTAATATTGTACTAATCTCTAGTCAAAAAAGTGATGGACATTACGATGTAGCAGTATTAAAAGGCCATCCACAAACGTTAAAAAAACAACGTAACGTGACATTTGATGAAAAGCCCGAAATACGATCATTCAAAGTTGACGATGAGCAAACAATAAAAACTAGTCTACCAAGTACACCAACATCAATACCAACGACTATCAATAGCCTACCATCAATGAGACAACCTAATAACAGAGTTCTTTTAAATACCGGTGCACAGTTTTATCCACAATTTGCATTACCGAACACGATTTATCCGTTTAATAATTATTTTTCACAACAGTATATGCCTCAAATGATGCAAACATCCAACAATGATGCCAAACTGTCACCATCTTTGACACGTGCAACATCTTCAAATTCAAAATCTAAAAATATGAATAATCTGACAACAAATGCGTCATCAACAACAACAACAACACCAATGATCGTTCAAAACTCAGGTATACCATCAATGTCGTATGGAACACCTGCATCTTATATGCCACTACAACCGACACCACCAACATTCATGTATAATACAATGATGCATCAACCGAATATGGCAGCTGTACCCCCTGGTGCATTCTACTATACAACTTCGACTTATCCAATGTAATTCGTTTTTTATATTTTTTTATTAGTTTTATATAAAGCGCAATATTTCAAGAATTGAGTTGGACAGCTTCAACTTAAGTAATGTAGTGTAAAAATATACAGTGGACACAAATAATCGGATCACCGTTATTTTGATTTTTTTTTCTTTAATCGTAGATCGAAAACGTCGTATGAGTAGATAGAAGAGTTCCGAGACAGGAGAGGTGCATAAAAACGATTCTGAGCTCTTCACGACATTTTTTCGTTGAACCGCATTTAATTTACAAAAACCCTTAGACAATCAGAGCAAGCAAAATTGACAGAGAAACAGAGTCAGAAGTGCCCCTGAAGCTTTCCGTAAATTGAATGTAGTTCGATCAAAAAAATATCATGAAGAGATTGAAAGTATCTCATTTCGTCAGGTTCTTTTTAGACTTGTTTCTCCGCAATTTATATTAGATTTGTATACACACCTCTTCTGATGTGTAACTATTTCGCCTGCTCATACCCAGGTGAAAAAATCAGATCAAGATCTTATGAAATCTTATGGAAGATCATAGAAACAGATTCATCTTATAAAATCTTATAAAAATCATACAAGAAACTTACGAAATCAGACGAAATCATAAGAACAAGATATCTTCTACAAGAATCTTATAAGATCTTACAGTAAGATTCTTTCACCTGAGTACCAATTTTCTGATTTCTTATATCTATTACAGTCGAAAAATAAAGATAAGTCAGTATTTTCCGAACTCACTGTAGATAGAAAACTGCTATTTTAAAACTGTAGACAGTCGCAAATGAAATATCATTTTTTAAATGCTAAATGCTACTAAAAATGGCAAGCTTTTGTTCAGTTTAGTAGAAGAACGAAGAACAAAAAAAAGAATGTGCTTATTAAATTGTTGTCACTTGTACATATTTTTTTGGGCTTTCAATAGAATATTTTCTACTCTTTGTTTTTGTCGAATTTCATTGTGATTCTTTCAGCAATTTTTGTAAATTTGTATCCAATTTATAGTTGTTAATACGAACTTTGTTTTATGCATCAGTTCTATATTCAAATCACATAATGTCTCTAACAAAAAACTACAATATTTATTTTTTTTCCTTCACAATGTTCTGACGGATCTTTTAAAGCTTCTGGATATTACGCCTTCAAAATTGGCTACTGACGAAGTTTTGAAACAAAGTAAGCGACCTTTAAGTTTGTCAAAAGGTAAAAATTATTTCCGCTTTCTAGCACTGTAGACAGGTTCTACAGTATTTGACGGACTGTAAATTTGGCTACAGTTATTTCAATCATTTCAAATTATTTTTATGGTATGCTTTTATAATGTCAATCTCTTTCGTCAGGCATAACTGCTCGGCTTTGCCCAGTCCAGCACCCTTACTGAACAAGAAGCTTAATTGACGATTTCAAGTCAACGGTTACCCGAATGATATGTGTTAAACTTCTCTTTCAAAACGTAAAATAATCCAGCTTAAATAATCTTGTTAAGATCCTATGTGATCTTACGAAAACTAAGAAATCGTAGAAATTCTGTACTGTAGGGATTCTAAAAAATTCTACATAATCCGTTGGCAGTCACGATGCTCAAGTATGTTCTGTCAGCTTTAAGTGTGTACAGCAACATAATACAACTTTAATCAAGCACTGAAGTTGATAATTCGTAACAAATCTCTTCTCTTGTAAACTGCGATAATATTCGGATGCTTAACCAGAATCAGTTGCTCTTTGGTAGATCACAGTGCAGTAGCGCTGTCACGTATTGACAGCTGTTGGCTTGAATTTTGGCTAATAAAGTAGTCCATCTTTTACCTTCGAGTTCGATCAATTTATTAGTATTTTTTGTGCAACTGCAGCAAAATCGTATGCTGAACATTCAGCAAACAAAATTCTCAGTTAATTTTTGGTTGTTCGCAAGTTTAGAAAGGGTTCTTGCACTCAAACCAGGAATCGCAGATCCAAAACACGAAAATCAGAAAAATCTGAGAAAAAGAGGTAGAAAATCAGTAGACCTTACGAAAAGAGCAGAAAGGAGGTAGAAAAAGTTCCAAAAATCAGAAGGTCTGGAATCCCTGATTCAAACTGTTCTAGTTTTTTCTATTGATTTCTCTATACTACATAAAGTCGATTTTCAATACTTTACGTTGCAGCGTTCGTATAAAGTAATCGGTATCTTCCTGAATTGTTGAATCAGCAATTATAGTTTGTATCACATTATTCCCCTTTATTTCTGTGATACTAATTTTAATAAAATTTTCTCTCTTGTCTCTCTAACGATACGATCTGCACAACTTTGTGCAAACCTAGAATAATTTTTGAATCTGTGCGTTTCTCGTTTTGATTTCGAGCTGTCTAGATCACGATCATACGAAAAGTAAAACTTGACTTTAAATTGGTTAAACTGTTAAATGTTTTTGTTAAAGGTTTTTTACCAAAAGTTCAAATTTATCCCAGTGAAAATGTTCATCGATTGTGATTAATGCTACATGAAGAACTGATATTCTTCTTATTACATTCTTGAACCGTTGTCATGATTAAAGGTATCTTAAAAATGTGCTTTTTCTTCTTCGAGGCATAGATCTCAACACTTTTAGATTTGAGATATACAACTTGTTTTGAAGAGATTTGAAGCACTTTCTCATGTTTTTGTAATATTGTTATGTATGTAAATGAAAAGTATAAAACAGCGCACTATTAGAATTGTTTCTGTCCAAAAAAATAAAATATAAAAAAAACATTTGACTATTCTCTAATTTGTTTTTAATGCGTATTGTTAGTGCCAAAAAGAAGTAGAAAAACTTTTTCTTGTAATAGAAAAAAACTTATTTTTATGATAAAAGTGTTATTATTTTGTCTATTGTAAAGTATGTAATATACTCTACACTATGTATACGTTGACAAAAAGACTACCTTTGCTGAAGTCAATTAGTTTACAATTTATTCATAAAAAATACGTTGTCCCTTTCTACAAACTGATGGTAGTATAAACAGATTTTTAAGTTATCGCTTAGAATCTTTAATGTATCTTCGGTAAAGTTTGAAATTAGATTTGTAAATATAAGATAGCGGTTAGCACAAATGGAGTAAAGACGCTCTTTGATTCTGATAGAGTATACGTTTTGTCTAGTTTCTTAACGCATACTCTTTTTGAGAGATTGTTTTACACCTTTCTTTTTACATTACTCACTTAATAACTTTGTCATTCAATTGTTATCAGCAGACATGATATGTCTGCGTTACATCTCTATTTGTGTGGGTGTGTATGCATGAATGTGAACTACATTATAGTAAATCTTTCTTGTTCCCATAATATAGATATAGATTATTCATTTAAGGTTCTATAGGAATAATTATACTAATACCAATGATATATTATACAAAGACAAAAAAATGAATTTTTTTTCTACTTCATAGTTATGTGTACGATTTTTTTTCCCTTCTCACTTTTCTCTTGTTTAAGACAAACGTTATGGTCAGTACTGAATTTACGATAAAAAAGAAAAAACGAGATTCTGTTCAAATAAAAAGATGAAGAAGAAGTAGAAAAGTATAGACTTATTCATATTCATAGACTTTTTCTTTTTTTTCTGTTGAATTTACACATTAACGTGGTGAAAGAAAATAGAAATAAATAATCCAAAAAACGTTCTCTATATTGCTGGATTATTTATGTGTGCGTGTACGTTTTGCTTCAATTTCACGTGTTTTTACCATTGTACTTTTGTTTGACGTTTAACATTTTGATTACCATTGTCTACAAGAATTCAAACGCACAAAAAGTTTGTAGAGAAATTCGTTTTTCTATCTTTTCTTTATACATTGATTAGGTCTACATAGCCTAGATTTTCAAAAACTCTAACGGGAAGCTACAATTTCTTAGATTATAACGATCATTTAAAGATAAAAACCAACGGTCCGTCAGTCACTTCTCTAATGAATATATTTAAACTTGAGTACTCACATCAGCACTCATGTGAAATTTTTTGAGTTCATTAGTGCTTGTCCATTTGAACTTAAAAGCATATTTTTGAATTTTTGAAAACCTAAATGAAAGGTTTTCAAATATCCAAGATTACATAGTATTTGTCGAATTTTTTTTTTCTATCAACGACTACTGTAATACTCATCATACGTACGTAAAATAATGAACAATAGGCTAGTAAAAATAAATTTGCATACTTTGAAAGTAAGTGATGTTTATACAATCCACGGATAAGCAGAACAAAATGATGATGTGTAGCTGATTGAGCAATCGATTTTAACGTTTGAGTTATTGAGTACATACGCTAAAATAGTTCTAGATGGAGAATATACTATGTCTAAAAAAGTATAAAAAAAAAATATATGATAATTTTTATTTCATGTTCACTGATATGCAACTAACTGTGCATCTATATTGGACAATGAGAATTGTTTATTTTTAGATCGATGCTGAATGGTGGTTTTAGGAAAGGTATGTAATAAAGCCTTTTCTTGTTTTCGTAGAATGTACTAATTATTTATTGATTTTAAAAAGAGCCTCCAGTTTTTTCTACTTCTCCTATATATTTTTGTATTTTATTTAGTTTTTATTTACTATTAATCGTCGTAGTTATTAATAGACATCAAAACAAAAGTAGAGTTTTATTCTATGTCTCGTACGGTACTGTTCTCTGTTTAATCTGATTTTTACACAAAATTCTCGCTTATATTTTATCTCTTTTATGTGTGTTGTTATGTGCTTATTAGCTTGAACAAATTTCATTACTCTATGGAACTTGATGATTGTATAAAAACTTTATTCGACTGATATGTCAAATTTAAGATGAATAACAATTCTTTGACGTTGAATCATCAAGTTTTCTTGTCAGCAATGATAGTCTAGCGATGCTCTCTTCAATTAAATAAGCCTTTTTAGAAAATAAATTAATAGTGTTTTCTTTTTGTGGGCTATTGCAATGATATTTTTATTTAAATATGTATTCATTACAAAAGTTATAATAGGCTGAAAAGCAGTAATATCAACGGTGTATGGTGATTAAATGAAATAAAAAAAAAAAGTAAATGCAAATTTGTTATTTTTTGGCCTTGAATCATCTTATTTTGCTATTTAATTTTCGCTTTAAAAAAGAAAACGTCTTGTATATGTGTACTTTGATATAAAAAAAAAATAACATGTCTTCATATTTCTGATATCATGCAATTATTTGTCGATAGTTCTTCTTTTCATTTTTGTATGAATACAAAATTCATATAAAAGATTTCTTCTCTATGGAATAGTTTGTGTAGATCCTTCATACATACTCAATGTTTATTTAGTTTTGTTCATATTACAAGATTGATTGAGGTGTTGGTGTTGTTTTACGTATTTTTTATACGTAAAATTGTATGTGTGTATAAAATAATAACTTAATGTATCGGAACACATACTAATAAACGTTTGTGATTAAGATATTGAAGAGCACTAGAGAACATCTTGAATACAACATATGATTTGTATCTTTTTTTATTTTTAATTTTTATATTTAATAGCAATATTACATCATTTTTCGAACGATGTTCTGAAATGACTTTTTATTTTGTAAAAAGAAAAAAAAAATGTGTAATATCAATCACAGCTGGGATCAAAAGAATTTTATTTTAAAGTACAGAGAATAATAAATGAATATACTCTAGTGAAATGAATATCCAGCAATGTTTAACTCTTGAGGTATGTTCGTTTTTGAATATTTTGATTGAGAAATTTCAAATAAGAAAGTAATGTACTCTGAAATAACGATGGCACATGTCGAATATTGATGATATGATATCAATTTCTTTGTACATACTAAAAACTAGACTGAGACTATAGATGAGTCTTAAATAATCAATTTATTCTTTCAATTATTTCATTTTATTTTTTATTCGAATATGAAACAGATGTCAATTTGTCAAGAAAGGACTAATTGCACAATGATTTTGGTACAATACTTTGTTTTGTATGTTGTTATTGAATCGTCTTTCTCTCTCGTACTTTTTTTTTTTGAAGCTTATTGTAATTGATTGATTAATACGAACCATGTTCAATATTTGAAAAGAAGAAGAAGAAAGAACAAAATGCCTCCACGAGTATATGTTTATACGGTAAACAGAACAAAATACTGCTAAACAGATCGAAAATAGATGTGAAGTTTTACTTTTTTTTTTTTACTCTGTAAGATAATTATCGGTAAAAAACAAAATGAAAGAAAAGAAAAACTTTTGAATCTCTTTACTATAAGAAGACGAATTCTGTCGATATATTCGATAGAGAAAAAAAATAAAAATGATGACGATGATCAATAATTTTGTTAGGTCAAGAATGAAAACTGATGTACATTTTGAGATAGACGAAATGCGTACGCGCAACAGTGTATATTAAAAGAAGAAGAAGAAGAAGAAAAAAAAAACCTGGAGAAAAAGAAAGATTGGAGAATAAAAATGTAGAAAGAAAAAAGGTATGTTGTCTAAATCAATATGAACAACGTAATTGTACTTGAACGTCGATATATACATGCATATGTATACACACCCGTTTATATGCATACACGACCTTACATTTTGTCACCAAATAAAGTTGCGATATGATATTTAATGTATATTCAGTCTTTTTTTTACTCCGCCCATCACTGGACATTGGACAGTATCATTGTGTAGTGTTTTCAATTTGATATTCTTGATGATGATCATATTTAATTTTATTAATTCAAACAAATGAATAAAGATTATCATGTCTAATTGAAAATTAGAATGAAGACGACGAAATTATTTTCTATTTAAAACAGAAGACAAAAATAAAATTATGTGTTTTGAAACTAAAATAAAAAGTTGATCTCATTATCGTTAAAAGAAACACTTATGAATAGAACAGTGTTAGTAGCAAGTTATTTTCTTCAGGTAAGCAATTTAGTGCTTCCAAATAACATATGACAAAAAATATATGTTAGAGTTTATCTAGAATATTTAGTTAGATAATTCTTTCTGTAAAGCTATTGTTTATGTCTAGAAGTTTAACACAAAAAAAAGATATTATTTGTGCACAAAGTAAGAGTTGCTATTAAATGATTGACCATTAGGGGAGAGGGGGGAGGGAAAGCAGCTCGGATGATGTAAATACCTTATGAAAAAAAGAAGTTTTCCCCCTGTACGTGTATGTCTCTGGTATGTGTAGTTATATTTTCAAATATACAAACTAGGATACTGTTGTGCCTGATATTTTGTCTTCATGACAACTAGGAAAAGAAGCCTAATTTTTAATTGACGTTTGTTCAAAAGAATAAAAAAAAAAAAAGAAGAAATGTACAGTTAAGCACGCAACAAATCGTAAATGAATGTTTTATTTTCTTCTGAAATGAAAATAGACTGTGTCAGATGGTATAAATATGTGTGTTTGTTTTATTAAAAAAATACATGTTCCGTTGCTAAGCTTTTTAAACTCAACCGAAGTGAACATTGACCAATTCAATTTCTTTTGAGACAATAAAGAACATTAGATTCTCTTTGAATATTAATCAATCATTTTATCTGTATTTTAAAGGAATATTATACTAGATAAAAAAATCATTCTAGTAGGATAGATTAGAAAATAATTTATAATTTTATGTTGTAATTTTGTGTTATATTCTTCCACAATTGTTCCATTAATATTAGACAACAATTGATTTTTCAGTTTCTCTCAATACGCATTGCTTTTTTAATCTTATTTTTAAAAGATGTGCAACCAATTCCTAAAGTTTCATATAGGTTAAATATGGAACTTCTTTTCTTTGTGATAAAAAAACAATAAAAATTGGCAAGGATGTGAATTTGATCAAATTAGTCCGATCTGAGGACTAATGAGAACATTATCAGCATAGTATCACGCTGAAGTACCTGAATCGATGTGTAAAATTGACTAAGTGGTAATTTGAATCATTGAAAATTACAACATGTCAAAATTGAAGAAAAAAATTAATCCATTTTCTCCACCGTTTTGTTTCTCCTTTCTGTTTGTTCATAAGAAAATCTGTAAAGGCTTAGCGGAACTTCTTTTGTCTCGTCGTATGACATTCATTGATGCTTAATTTACGTGTCTAAAGAAACAAGTCATTTTGTGCTTCTTTGTTGTATTTTTTTAATCGTGTACATGTTTTATACGCTCACTTTTATTCATCTCACATAATTCGTCTTCTAATAAAAGAAAAGCTTTATCAAATTCTTTTAACGTAAGAGTTAATAATCAAATAAGAAAAAAACAAACAAAAAAAAAAAACTGACAAGTGTTCGAACTAATCACAAAAATAATTTAAGAACAAGCTTGATTTCTCTTCAACTGCTAGTTTTCTAGTATTTTAATAGTTTAATAAATTAGGAAAAAAAACGATCAACTGATTCTTAAGATATAGACGATGAATATACTTTTCAGCGATTATTTTGCTTGCTCAGTTTTCATTTCATATGGATGCTTTCTTAAATTATATCTGGGTTGTTTTTTTTTTCAAGTTGTTTTTACACACAAATAAAATCACACTGTTTTATTTTGTCTATTAAGGGTGACCATGTTTGGGTTGATGTTCGAAATGGAGGCGAATTTAGTGTTGAAATTGGTGCTAAAGTGGTTGCTACTCAAGCCGGACAAATAATATTAGTCGATGATAATGGACAGGTGAAAAAATAAAAATATTGTATTCATTTATTTTTTGTTTCAAAATTATTATTTTTATTTAGGAACTTCAATTTCCCATTCAAACTAAATTTCGATCAATGCACATTAGTTCAATTGAAGGTGTTGATGATATGATTTTATTGGGTGATTTAAAAGAATCAGCTATATTACATAATTTACACATGCGTTATAAAGATAATAACATCTATGTAAATAAAATATTTACTAAACGAATAAATACGAAAATATACGTATGGAATCTGTTTTATATTGTAGACGTATACTGGTTCTATATTAGTTGCCGTTAATCCATATAAACTACTCGATATTTATAATATTGATTATGTAAATCGTTATTGTAATCGAAAAATTGGTGAATTACCACCACATATCTTTGCCATTGGAGACAATGGGTACATGAATATGCAACGTTATCAACATGATCAGTGTATTATTATAAGGTAAAGTTTTTTTATTCTTTTTCTATCTCTTTTAGCCTACACACTATATTTAAAGTCTATAGGATGACTTTGATCGAGTTGATTGCTAATCTTTAATTTTATACTGATAAAAAATGTTTAACATTTTTTTTTTTAGCGGCGAATCTGGAAGTGGCAAGACTGAATCAACAAAATTGATTTTACAATTTTTGGCTGCTACATCTGGTCAACATTCTTGGATTGAACAACAAATATTAGATGCAAATCCAATTTTAGAAGGTAAACTCATATTTTTGTTTTTTTCTCTCTCTCTCTCTCAATTATTAACATAAATCATGATGATTTTTTATTTTTTATCTTATGTTAATAGCTTTTGGCAATGCAAAAACAGTGAGAAACGATAATAGTAGTCGATTTGGAAAATATATTGATATTCATTTTGATAAACGTGGGGTTATTGAAGGTGCTAAAATTGAACAATATTTATTAGAAAAATCACGCATTGTATCACAAGTATGTATTGTTTTTAATAGTCTATTATTTTATAGTGTGTATAGGAAGATTTTATCAGTTTATTATTTCACAATTCTGTTCTTCTTGTAACCTTCGTTCTAGTGAAAATAAATTCATTTTTGTATTAATAACTTGGTAAGATACAGATGATGAATATACGTTCTAAATGAAAATAAATAAAATAGTGCATGATTATTCGTTGTTTTTTTACAAATGCATGAAAACGTGAACAATTTGTTCATTGTTTTTATCTCATTTTTCTACATCATTTGTTGTTCATGCATGAAAAACAGACAACGCAGAAACAAACAAAAAGAAAAACAAATATTTTTATGTTTGTTTGAAATTGTGTGTGTGCGTGTGTGTATTTTGTAATGCTTTTGGTTCAATAATTAGCTTTGCATGAAACATTCATGAAAGCTATACAATTGAAAATACCATTGTATATTGGAATATTTTCCACTTTAGCTATTTTTTTCTTCATTCTTTGTTTTAGGCTCGTGATGAACGCAATTATCATGTATTCTATTGTATGTTAGCCGGTATGACAAACGATGAAAAACAAGCTCTTGATTTATCATCAGCCAGTGATTATGTATATTTAAATCAGGTTTGTATCGTATATATTCATTAAATAAAATAAATTCTAATATTGTTTTATTCTTGTCTGAGTTTAGATCGAAGTATGTTATTTAGTTTTTATTACTTTCTTTTTTATTTCACATTTACAATGGTATAAATTGTTGTTAGGGTACCATTTACTGTGATAGTAGAGATGATGGAAAAGAATGGTCAACAATTAAAAGTGCATGTAAAGTGTTAATGTTTAATGATGAAGAACTCAATGATATTTTGAGGCTTTTATCAGCTGTATTACATTTGGGAAATCTAAAATTTCAAGGTAGAATACTTACAAAATGTAATTAATTTTGATTTATTGAATTATATTGTGAATTATATATTTTAGCTACAACCACACAAAATCTTGATACAACAGCAATAGCAAACAATAATGTTTTAAGAACTGTGTCAAAATTGCTCAAAGTATAATATATTCGAATTGTATTTGAATTTTAAATTTTTACAATGATTCTTTGTTTAACTATTAAAGTTGGACGAGAATGGTTTACGTGATGGTCTTTTGAAAAGAACAATTTTTGCACATGGCGAAGCCGTAGTTACACCATTAAATCAAGTACAAGCGTGTGATGTACGGTATGTATTGAGTGTAAATGATTTATGCTATTTCTATCTATTTGAATTTCTTTTCTTTTTCTTTTCTTAGTGATGCATTTGTAAAAGGAATTTATGGAAAAATGTTTATATGGATCGTTGATAAAATAAATAGTGCAATATATAAACCAAAAGAAGCTTCAACGTATAGAAAATCCATCGGTGTATTAGATATATTTGGTTTTGAAAACTTTCAACGAAATAGTTTTGAACAATTATGTATCAATTATGCAAATGAAAATGTAAGTGTATTTAAAATAATTTTTATATAATTATTTAAAAGTTTTCTTATTATTTTTAGCTACAACAATTTTTTGTTCATCATATATTTAAATTAGAACAAGTATGAAAATAAAATAATTTATTAGTTGTTAGTTCATCATTATTAAATTTTTCTTGTTTATTTCTTAGGAAGAATATGATAATGAACATATTAATTGGAAACATATTGCATTCGAAGATAATCAACGAATATTAGATTTAATTGCAACAAAATCTATGAATATAATAGCATTGATAGATGAAGAAAGTAAATTTCCGAAAGTAAGTTAATAGATACTTAATAAATATATCATCGTGTAGAGAATAAATGTTAATAAATTTTTTCAAAAATGACAACAAAAAATGAAGTTATGTAGAGGATAAATATCATTTTCATTTTAGGGTACCGATAAATCTTTATGTGATAAATTACATGCGAATCATGCTAAAAATGAAAATTTTGTGAGTAGAAAAAATGAGAATGGTATTAATTTTGGAATTAAACATTTTGCTGGACATGTTTATTATGATTGTGAAAGTAAGTTTTCTCTATTTGAACTTTAGAATCATAGATAATCTAGATCTATTTAATATCATTTTTTTTTAGACTTTTTGGAAAAAAATCGTGATACATTTAGTCAAGATCTAATGAAATTATTACAAGAAACAAAAAGTAAATTTTTACGAAATTTATTTCTAAATGAATATCAAATTGGAACAGAAACACGAAAACGAGCTCCATCTTTGGGTACACAATTTAAAAAATCACTTGATTCATTGATGACGATATTGGCAGCGTGTCAACCATTTTTTGTTCGTTGTATCAAACCAAATGAATATAAAGCACCAAATGTAGGTATTATGAAGTTGTCTTATTTTAAATTTTTTGTTTATTTTATCTTTATTTTTTCTCAAGAATTTTGATCGTTCACTCGTTTATCGTCAATTACGATATTCTGGAATGATGGAAACAATAAGTATTCGGAGAAAAGGCTATCCTATACGTCATTTATTTCACGATTTTGTTGATCGTTATCGATTGTTAGCACCTGGCATTGGTCCATCACATCGTGAAGGCGATTGTAAACAAGCATCGGATAAAATATGTAAAACAGTATTGTCCGATTTAGATTATCAAATTGGAAAAACTAAAGTTTTTCTAAAGGTAAATCTAAAATAATATTTATTCATTAGAATATCTATTTTTTTTCGTTTTATTTTTTTTACAGGATGCACACGATGTTTATCTTGAACAAGCTCGTGAACAAGTTATGTCACGTAAAATTCTCATATTACAAAAATCTATAAGACAATGGATAGTTCGACGAAAATTTTTGGCTATGCGTCAAAGTGCATTTATTATACAATCACAATGGAAAACATATCAACAAACAAAACGTTATGCTATTATAAGAAACGGTTTTATGCGTCTACAAGCATTACATCATACACGTTTATTAACACATCGATATACGGCATTGAAAAATCGTATATTAAACTTGCAACGTTATTGTCGTGGTTATGTTGCACGACAAAATTATAGTAGAAAATTGAATGCTATCATTATATTACAAGCTGAAGTTAGACGACATGTTGCACAAAAAAGAATGAGAAGATTAAAAATTGAACAAAAAAAATATAAAGAAGCGGAACAAGAACGTTTTGAAGAAGAAAAAAAATTAATACCATTACTTGGTGCAAAAAGAGCGAAAGAAGAAGCAGAGAAAAAGTATCATGTATGTATTTTTTTATCATTACAATATATACCAAAAGATTATGTACCTCATACTAATGTTTTCTCAACTATTACTATTTAATTAGTAAACAGAAAAACTGAATATGTAAGAAAATTTGTGTTCTATTTTAGGAACGTTTAAATCAATTAGAACAAGAAATCCATGAACAAGAGCGTATGGAACAACAACGTGCAAAAGAAAAACGTATTCTAATGGAACGTAGAAGTTATACTGATGATAATGAATTATTTAATACAATGTTTCCGGGTGGCGATGAGCGTACAACAACTGGTGGTATGAATTCACATCAATTACGTTCAAATGCTGGCGGTATGCAGTCAACTTTGGGTAATTTACCATCAGTTGGAAATGTTGAATTAATTCATAAAGCATTACCATTACCTGATCAAGATGAAGATTTAAAAGAGTATACGTTTGCAAAATTTGCCTCAACATATTTTCAAGGCAATGCGACACCATCATTTACGAAAAAAGCACTTAAACAACCATTACTTGCATTGAAATCAGAGCGTGATCAATTAGCTGCTCTAGCTATATGGATAACAATTCTTCGTTTCATGTGTGATCTTCCTGATATTCGTACGCCATCAACCACTCATCAAAAACAATCTGTCATGACTAAAATTCATTCAACATTAGGACGTAAATTCAATAAGAAAGATTTAGAAGAAGCACAAAAGTTAAGTGAATCAATTGATAATCAACCGAATAATGTTTCATCATCTTCAACAAATGGAAATAATGGCAATAGTAGTAATAATTTAACTTCATTGTCAAATATCAATAATAATAAATCATCTCGTAGTGTTAAACAAAAATTAGTTAATATGACATTGAAACGTAAATCAAAATTATCGAACGATGTTGCTATTACACGTCTAAAAGATTTAGATCTATTAAGTACACAACAAATGAAAATGAATGGAATGAATCCGTTTCTTGAAGATCGACCAACATCAAATTTGGAAAAATTACATTTTATTATTGGTATTGGGATACATGTACAAGAAGTTCGAGATGAAATCTATTGTCAAATATGTAAACAATTAACAAATAATCCAACATCACAAAGTGTCGCTCGAGGATGGATATTATTATCATTATGTGTTGGATGTTTTGCACCATCATCTAAATTAATTAAATATCTTCAAAATTTTATTCTAAATGGTCCAAATGGTTTTCCACGTTATTGTTATGAACGTCTGTCACGTACAATGATGAATGGTCTAAGAACACAACCACCATCTTGGCTAGAACTACAGGTAATTAAATTAAATTCTTTTTTTTTTCAACATAATTCTTATTAATTTAATTTTTTTTGTTGTATATTTATAGGCTACTAAACATAAAGAGCCACTATTATTACAAATAACGTTTATGGATGGAAGTTCTAAAGCACTAAAAGCCGATTCAGCTACAACAGCGAAAGAATTATGTGATTTATTAGCGGAAAAAATTAATTTACAAGATAAATTTGGTTTTTCCTTATATATAGCTCTATTTGATAAAGTATCATCTTTGGGTAGTGGTGGTGATCATGTAATGGATGCAATATCACAATGTGAACAATATGCAAAAGAACAAGGTACATTGGAAAAAATTGCACCATGGCGTTTATTTTTTCGTAAAGAAATATTTGCTCCATGGCATAATCCAGGTGATGATAATGTAGCAACAAATTTAATATATCAACAAGTTGTACGTGGTATTAAATTTGGTGAATATCGTTGTGAAAAAGATGATGATCTATCGATAATTGCTGCACAACAGTATTATATTGAATATGGAACAGAAATGCATATCGATAGATTAAAAGATTTATTACCACATTATATACCAGACAATCAATTATGTCAAAATAAAGCAACAGAGAGATGGTTACAATTAATTGTAAATGCACATAAACGAAATTATTATACAAAAGAACGAATACAAACTATACGTGTAAAGGAAGATGTTGTGAATTATGCAAGATTTAAATGGCCATTATTATTTTCAAGATTTTATGAAGCATACAAATTTTCTGGTCCAACATTACCAAAAAATGAAGTAATTATTGCTGTTAATTGGACAGGTGTTTATGTTATTGATGATCAAGAACAAGTTTTATTAGAATTATCATTTCCAGAGATAACACAAGTATTAAGTAGTAAAACAGGTAGACAACAAAGCAATTCTTTTACAATAATAACAATTAAAAATGATGAATATACGTTTACATCGAATAATGCGGATGATATCAAAGATTTAGTTATCAATTTTCTAGAAGGTTTAAAAAGAAAATCAAAATTTGTTGTTGCTGTACAAGATTATGAACCATCAGGTAATAATTTATAATTAATTGTTCATAAATTCATCATAAATATTGAGTTATAATGTCTTTTAATTAAGATTACTTAATTTTTTTAGAACGTGGTCAAGGTTTGTCTATTCATCGCGGTGATCTGATAACTTTACAAGATGATCTTAATACTACAATAATCAACAGTAATTCAAATACTAATCATCCTCCTGGAACAGCAAGTGCTACTATTAAAACTCCACATTGGTTGTCTGGTTATAACGAACGTACAGGTTTAACCGGTGAATTTCCTAGCGACTGTGTCTATATCCTACCAACAATGTCAAAACCACCACAAGATATTTTACAAACATTTACTTTACAATGGACAGATGTGAATAATCAACAAAATGAAAATTCATTGGCTGGTGGAAATTATGGAACAGATTTTCATGTTGAGCATGGTTATACTCTAGAAAAATATGCTGAATTAAATTTTCGATTACCACCAAAACGAACATGGTCAAATACATTTGCTCGTCGTGGTGGTAATAATGGTGATAAAATATGGGCCTTTCAAAAGGAACCATTAAAACAACCACTACTAAAAAAATTACAAGAAAAACAAGATTTAAGTGAAGAAGCGTGTACTTGTTTTATGAATATATTAAAATATATGGGTGATCATCAAACAGGACTTATAAGAAGACGAGCAACCAATGAATTAACAGATGCCATATTTGATCCAGCTTTAAAACATGTATGTTATTTCTATTGAAATAGATAAAATAAAATGAAATATCGTTAATATTTTCTGTTTAGGAAATTTTGAAAGATGAAATTTATTGTCAGATAATAAAACAGTTAACTGATAATGGAAATCAAACAAGTGAATCACATGGCTGGGAATTAATGTGGTTAGGAACGGGTTGTTTTGCACCAAGTGCATTATTATTGAAAGAAGTAAATTTATTTTTACGTTCGAGAAAACATCAATTGGCTGCTGATTGTTTTACAAGATTACAACGTACATTAAAGTAAATCGAATGATTTTTCTTTACATGTAAGTGATGTATATTCTTTATTTATAGAAATGGACAACGTAAACATCCACCACATCAAGTCGAAGTAGAAGCTATTCAACATATGACAACACAAATCTATCATAAAGTCTATTTTCCTGATGATACATCTGAAGCATTTGAAGTTGATTCTAGTACACGTGCAAAAGATTTTTGTCGAAATATTGCTGATCGTTTAAAACTTCAAGGCAGTGAAGGATTTAGTTTATTTGTAAAAATATTAGATAAAGTCATTAGTGTACCGGATGGAGATTTCTTTTTTGATTTTGTCCGACATTTAACAGTAAGTAAATTACTTATTTGTGCATAGTACTATTTTTTTTTAAAAAATTCTGTTTAGGAATGGATTAAAAAAACGAAACAACGTGAAGGTAAACATCTATCTTATCCAAGAAACAAAAATAATTCTAGCATTAATGTCTAATATTTAGATCCTCCAAAATATACTTATCAAATATTTTTTATGAGAAAACTATGGACAAATACGGTACCTGGGCAAGACAGAATGGCTGACGTTATATTCCATTATCATCAGGTATGATTGAGTAAAAATTTTGAAAATATTGATTATATTACTCATTTTTGCTCATAGGAATTACCTAAATTGATTCGTGGATATCATAAATGTTCGATAGAAGAAGCCATACAATTGGCTGCTTGTATTTATCGTGTTCGTTTTGGAGATAGTCTTGCTCAATTCGATAATATACAGTAAGAATATCATTGAGAATACTTTGTTTATTCTTCTATATCTAGCATAATATTTTCTATTCGTCTTTCAGACTGAAAGATTTTTTACCTGCCGATCTTATTGATCGATTGCCTTATGCTGATTGGAAAAAGGTAATAATAGTATTAAATCTTCTTTTAATTATCTTATTCTCTTGACCGAAAGTCAAGGTTTATATGAAATGAATGTCAGCATTCACATAATAATGTGTTCATACATGAAGAAATAGTATACTGTTGTGTGTGTCAGAGACCGTGGAACATTAGAACACAATGACTGTGTCGAGAGTCGCTCCTCAGTTCGAATCAAGTATTTTTTAATTTTAATAGAAAAGCATCACTAAAGTGGGTCGTATTATACTCTAATAGAATAACATACAGTTCACCAGCTCGAACCATTTCAAAACTTTTTCGATTATGGTAAATAAATATTAATCCCCAGCAGGAGTCTTGCATTTGCCAGTGTGAAAGTATATGTCAAAATCGATCTAGTCCATCGAATTCAACATAAGCATGAGCACATCTGTAGAAGTTCGCTAGTATGAACGTGAAAATATCAAGAAATATACGTTACAGCCTGACCACTATCTGCGAGGGTCACTCCTCAGTTCGAACCGTCTAAGAGATTTTGATTATAGTAAATAAACAGCAATCATCAGCAAAAGGTTTGTTGCTCTTTACTGTAATAAAAAAATGCAGTTACAGCATTGAAGAAATATAGATGAGCAACGATTTCGGCCATATGAACACACGGTTTCAGTTAAGGGTTAAATGAATTTCAGATGAATGTTACTTGTTATTTATTCATAATTTTTTGTATTTATTTTAGCGTATAATGAGTGCTCATCAATCTTCTCGTGGAATACCGTCGGAAGACGCTAAAATAAAGTTTTTAAAAATTGTTTATCAATGGTCAACATTTGGTTCAGCATTTTTCGAAGTTAAAGTATGATCAATTCTACTTTTTTCTATACTGCTATGTTAAAAAACAACTGATCTTTGATCTTTATAGCAAACATCTGATCCAACGTATCCTGAACAATTACTTATTGCTATAAATAAAAATGGTGTCAATTTAATTCATCCAAAAACAAAAGATCTTTTAATGACTTATTCATTTACAAGCATATCAAATTGGTCTAGTGGAAATACCTATTTTAGTTTCGTAAGTCATATAACATACAACATAAAATTGTTTGGTTTTGCTCTATATATTTTGTGTTATTCTTTTTTTTAGACTGTTGGTGATATTGTGCGCGGTACGAGATTGTTGTGTGAATCACCATTGGTTAGTACTCGACATTGAAAAGTATTCGATCAGCGTATGATTAATATACTCTTCTTATGTGTTTTAGGGTTATAAAATGGATGATCTACTAACATCTTATATTAGTTTGATGGTACAAACAATGCATCGGAATTCTTCACGGACAAATAATCCAATCTAATAATGGAAAACTTTAAACTGTCTTGGATTCTTTTTTGCCCACAATTTTTCGTTTTCTTTCTTTTCTTTTTTTTTGTAAAAATATGCTAGAAAAATATAATGTCTATACGCGGTTATAAAAAATTTTTTAACAATTTTATTTTTACATCTTGTTTTTTGTGTTTGCTTTTGTGTTTTTATTCTCATTGGTTATCTTTTTCCAAAGAAAATCATCGACTTGTTAATACGATATATATAGTAATACATTCACACTATAAACATACGACTCTACATATTATTGTTTTTTCCTTTTGTTAATTCTATTTAATAAAACATCTCTTTTTCTCTACTTTATTAGTTACTCAAGAATATTCAATATTAATCTAACAACAGACCATATAGAAATGGATAACATCAAGACAAGAATCTTTAAAGCAATTGTATTTTTTTTTATTAGACATCAGCTCTCTCCAGTATTGATTAAACCTATGACGAACTCGAATTGTTTTTCATTGTGTCGAATTCTATTACCAACTAAAGTCTTGACCTATCCGTCTTAAATTCATGAAAATGCGTACAGAAACATGTACATAAGTGAAACTACTGTATAAAGTTAGAATTTCACTATACGAGCTTAGTTTTTTGGCACGATCGATCGTGTTCATCATTTTAACTTTCATTTTACAGTGTAAATCAATGATTATACATATTGTATATGAGTAAGAGCACCAGATATATTTAATTATTCATTTATCTATTTTCACATTTTCATTCTTAATCTTATTATAGCATTTTTTTAGCCGTTACCACGTATATACACGCTAATTATTTCAGATGCCATTCTGTGAACTTCGTTTACCAATCGACTCAAAAACACCGTTAGAAACCATATCAAAATTGATTATTTCTTGTTTTGATCTTGGTTATGATCGTATTGTGTTTTGTCAAACTGAACATTTGAAAACAACAGCATCGAAAAAAAATAAAAATAAAAAACGTAAATTAGATAATAATGATGATGATGATGCTGGTGGCGGCGGTGGTGGTGGTAGTGCCGAGAGTACTGGTGGATGGATTTGTCCTAAACTTATCAAAATTCAATTGCCCGATTTAGTTTTGCAACGCTGTAAACAAACAAAACGTGAATTCAAAATATTATCTCGTCTAAATGTTATTGTGTACGATAATCAAAGTCTACATTTTTTAAAACGAAATGATGTTCAACAGTTTGATCTATTATCATTACAACCGATTAATCGTGATATTCTTTTATATTTACTTAATTCACCAACAATACAATTCGAAATATTAAGTTTAGATACAACAGATCCAAATTTATTACCATTTCCCAGTAGAGTTATTCGAGCAACAGCAGATAAAGGTGTAACATATGAATTATGTTATAGTGGAGCGTTAAAAGATCCATTTGAAAGACGATATTTTATGGCATTTGGAAGACATTTATCTAATATATTGCATGGTAAATCGTTAATATTTAGTTCAAATGCTACAAATCCAATACAATTACGTTCACCACATGATATGATGGAAATTGGACAATTATTTGGACTTTCAGATGAGAAATCAAGATGTATTATAAATGAAAATCCAATAGATGTATTAACAAGATCGTTTAATCGTCGAAAAACGGCAAACGGTTTGATTTGGATGGAGCCTGTTCAAGCATCAACTTTATCCCTGACTACTGAATCATTTACATCTTCTACACTATTATTGTCATCTACATCAAATACAATTGTATAAAAGCTTTTTTTGTCGTTTTGGAACAGAATATATAGGACAGAGATGGGCAACTCCGGCTAAGTTCAACTCCAACTCCGCAGATCCCAAGTCCAACTCCAATAGGAACTTATTTTGTCTTGATTCATTTTCTCCTTTATTTTATACTAGCGGAGGTACCCGATGTAGAGTGAGTTGTCTTGAACTTTTCCATCTTTAACAGGATCTTCCCCGCCGTGTATAAATTGAGATGCTTAGTCATACCGACTATATGATGTGAGAATTTAGTTTATAGCGTGTAAATCTGCTTTGGTTCTTTCTACCTATCACCATTTCTATCACACACCTCTGCATTAATTGTAAAAAAGTAGCAGTAGTAGGCTTACGATCGTACCTTACACTTCGAGCTGTCTGACAAAG